CCACCCTGACTATCACAAAAGGCTTACTGGATTTGGTCTTTTCTGTGAGCTGTCCCCTCTGCGGAAGGGGTTTTCTTATTAAAAGGCTTCGAGGGTAAACCCAAACTTGGTCTCTTCTAGGGCAGATGTGCCCCTCGACGAAAGGAATTCTATGTAGTAATGTAGATTTGATTTTCATCCTTCACTTTCAGTACGGTAGCACGTTTGCTGTAGGGCTTACCAACACCACTAATGGCACAAGGCTAGTTTGACGAGACCTGCTGCGATCGGCAACCTATTTGCTGTTGGGACACATATGTTAAGCGTCTCTCAATGTTGGGCTACCTCTTATATGTCATACACAAATTACTTTCGGTGGCTGCGACTTTCCCCTTCCTGTTGCTTTGCTCAACCGTGCACTGCGGTTTGTTTTCTTCTAAGTTTTGCGGTTTCCTGTTGGCAACGGCTTTCTTCAGCGTCAGACACTACATGTGAGTGCTGGGTAGTGTACTCAGTTTTCAGAATAAACCTTATTCCTTTATTTCCGGGACTTAGAACTGAGTAACTTCCCTTTCTTATCTGAGTCACCGGCGTCCCCTCGTGTCCTAAGTGTAAACTAATTTCTCGCTCCCCCACTTACCATATCCAAGAGAGAGAGAGAGAATGTATCAACGGAGGATTGTTGGCCGACTACTCGGCGTCACTGTTTTGTTTCTGTTCCCTACACATGAAGGGGCTGCAGACTTCCATATTGGATAGGAACTCTGTTCGAACAAACGGTGTTCATACCTTCCAATTGAAGTAGGAACGAACTCCATGAATGGTAGTTTTTCGTTGGAACATTGAAACGAGTGGTCTACTCAGTCTTCACTACATGTACGATTAACCATACCCCTTGAGGCTAGTTTGGCTCGATAGTTATGTCGTTGAATTCGTTTTTATGCCTGTAACACGGGTGTATGGTGTTTTGAAGTGCGTTTTCGTTATCCATCATTATTACTGTCGTCATTACTTGACTTGCACTGCAGAACGGTCAAGGCCAATCAGCTGTCCGATTAAATGGCGTGAAGAATTCTCAAGAAGCCGAGAATGAATACAATCCGGGAGAGCTGCACTCGACCGAGGTGCGTGCGCCACCGGTTGAGGACCGGGTTGCCACAGACAATCAGCGTTCGAATTTACCGAGCCTAGATATTCCGGCAACAACTATGCATGCAGACGCTGCCAATTTCACACTGCATGCAATGTCCAACGTCAGTCCTTCTCCGTCCAATCGGACCGCGTTTGGGGAGCCGGAATTTGAGCGTCCAGCGACGGAAGACGCGGATGAACAATCGAAGACCGGTGCATGGGAACCAAGTGCTCGAATGGTTCAGAGCGAATACCAACGACCTTTGTCTAGTAAGTTTCCGCCTAGGTCTTTGTATACTCACTGCTCTTCAAGTGATTTGCTTATGTTTTTTTTTGAGAGTTCCAATTCACACCCCTCAAGCACGAAATGACACGTAATACCACCAAACGAGAAGCGACTGAAATACGACTGATGCTGGATGATTCTTTATTACTATTTCCACATATTTTTGCGAAATCGAAGGCAATAAATGTAAACATGAGGATAACAATACAGACATGTTGGGTAGGCGAAGAATAATGCCTGTCACATACCCTCTTTTGCTGTGAAAACCTAAGGGCTCCAGTAAGACTTTTCGATAAGAGGCGCCCAGCACTTGGTAATGTTTCTTAGACCCCCACTGGGTTGTCGTTAACTTTTACCAATTTGTTCAACAGTCGTCAAGACACACTAAGCACAATCCTATGGGGTCGAAGAAAGCCCTCTGAAAGAACTAGCATCGTCAAATGACAGAGTTTGTTCACAGATGTCTCCTAGCTGCTAGTGTGATGTCATATTTCAACAGCAAGTTATCAAGACCGACCCAATTACCGACACCGCAAGAATATTCATTTGTCCCAGGCCGTGGTGATCACATGAGGGCTTGTTGCCACAACTGACCATTGGTTGAACCAAATTCTGATATCTGCGTTCGGGCTTGCTTTTGAATGTTTGTTTGCAGGTTAGATCCAACGGACAGGGTTTCTCTGCTGAAGTTTGTTTTAACCTTACCTTGGCGAACAGAGACATGTCTTCTTGTCACTCAAAGTCAGAGCTACACACTGTCGTGATGTGTGCATTTTGGAACCTCACCTACCGGGGATATTCGCAATGTCATAAGAATAGCCGACGTCCTCCTTGACCGTATCCGTATCCATACGAAAACTCATCGTCTTCATCCACTATTGCACACCTTGAGAATCGTGAAGAACGACGTCCATAAAGGAGTCCGTCCTGGTCCTGAATCAAAATGTTTTCGAAGGAAACGAAGTGGCTGGTCGAAAGCAGTTGTGGCCGATTGACTATCAGATTCACAAACTTCCGTTTTTGGCGATAATATCATGGGGTGTCTTTGCGGGATACAAAGCTGAGTAGAATAGAGGTGGTCGAATACCACTAACTTGATAGCAGAGTTCCCCCACATTCCATTGGAAACACTGTAATGTTTTACACGCTTCTGAGGAGGGGTGACGGAGTTGTGAAGCCCGACGGGATACATTACTTTTACAGTTAGCGTTGGCTTGCTCCTAAGAGTTATTATATCCGGTTGTGATAGCTACTGTGATGCGAATAAATTATTTGTCTCGACACTATAAGTTACGGAAGGGAACGTTTTTAATTCTTACTTCGTTGTGTGTGCAAGTCTTAACATACTACTCATAAGGTTACTCTTCGAAATCCCACGAACGATTTCGCTCTTCCTGGGACTCATTAGGTAGGTGTAGTCCTCAAATTAAACAGGTTTTGACAAATACTCATAGTTTCACATGCACGAGACTCAACGGAATCCCGTTTATGATGGCCTGACGCATTACAAGCATAACGTCGTCCGGATATAAGTCGCTCATACGTCTTTAAGAGGCGAAATCCCTTCTCCAACAGTCGGTTCGTTCATTCTGTATTCGTCAGCATAGCAAGAACGTTTAGGCCTGCTGTACTTGTTTCTGTTTGGCATTCTGACATATGTATCCCTAAGCCTTCTCAAATTCAACAGTTGGGTTCTCCCAATTTGTATCCCTTGTTGGTGTCCCTATATTGTAAGTGTGTATTTTGGTCTCTCAGTGAATGCTTATCGCAAAGTTGACCCAGCAGAAGGAACAGTTCGACTTTGTGTGGTAATTTTCAGGAAACTATTTATCACAACAATGAACTGGAGATGACTCATTGGTTGGGGCGCGAACTTACTGACCGGAAGGTCCGTGGTTCGAACTCAACCCCGGCTTCTTGACTTTCCCTGTCTAGGCTTGGTGGGCTGACGTAACAGCTGGACCCCGAAAGGATACTGCGGCTGAACGAATGTATACTACACAAATGTGGTCTGTGTGCGTTAGTGTCATTTCTTTCAAGGACGACTGACTTAGTTTGTGTCAGACATCGCCACAGGAGGTCACAGGATTGCCTCGACTGTTTGCGAAGAAGTTCTCGTCGATGTTTCTTCATCCATTCACCCGGCATCGATCTTGGATCAGAATCACAAAGATATTGTAGGCTGAAGTACTTTGCTTGCGCCTGCATCCTGAATGCGTCCAAGCTGTCCATCATAATCACGGAGAACGGAAGAGTTTTTGTCCTCATTACTGAGATTCGCATCTCTGGTTTGTGTTCACTCCTCTTTCGACTATATGATACAATTATGATATCATGTATGACGAGAAATTTGGACGAATATGTCTCTCTTGTGTTCGTGATCACGAATTTGTCTTCTCCGTGGCTGTGCGAACCAGGGTCATTGCCGAAATTGCAGTGCGGTTATGTGCTACGACCCATAAGTCTTAGGGAATGCGACGAGATTTAAGTACTACTGATCGGAAGGTCCGTGGTTCGAACCCGACCTCTACCTCTCGACTTTCCCTGTCTAGGCTTGGGCAACCTGGCAGCACCCCAACCCTCGTGCTTCCTTAGGTTGGCATGGCGGCTAGGCACCGGAAAGGTGTTACAGCTGAACGATATGACATATACTACCAGACGGAATTCGAACAACGGACAGTCATCACTGTCGTTCCAAGCGGTAGACTTTGGTCCGAACTCATCCGTTGATCCTTTCACTCTTCAGTAGCCCCAGTCTCTTAAGGTTTAGCCCAAACGTCCAGTTGGCAGCTACTCATCAGTGATCTAACGCATCCACAGTAATGATCTTTGTTAGTGGTTTTAGGGCCAATCCGGTGCACAGGTCGGCTACTTTTCACCTCCGACAGTGCTATGTTACTAATGACGATGGATACCACGTTGTGGTTGCAGTAACTAACGTTCGTAATTCAGGTCACATTCCAGGACCAAAATCCTTCACGCACTCTGTTGTGCACCATGCGATAGACTGAAATAGGTTGTTCATGCGTTACTGGTTTAAATTTTATCGACACTCTCTAGTCAGCGAAACTCTTCACAGTTTAATTGAGGTACGCGTCCGATGTCAATATGCCAACGCATTCCACCAATGAAATTTAGCTATCATATTTGATGCGAGTAAGTTGAATTCCCAAGCTTTATTCATTTTTCTCTGACGTTCGCATCCCACCTAACCTTTTGCTAACCCAAATGCCAGTGCGACTTACCCCGGGTGCTGATACCTTTTTTCCGTCCTCGTCTCTTAGCATCTCAGACGGCATCGCCGGATGTCGAATGCCTTGTTCACTCGACTTCCTGGGCCCGCTGTTTGCTGATCATTTCGTCGTAACATTTGTGTCGGGTGCTCCCTATTGACCGTAGCTGGTTGCTGATATAGCACGAGTAGTCCACAGTAGGGAGACTTTCGTAAGCCTTCGAACTTATTCAAAAAGTGTTGACACCCGAATCCTTACGTGGTTCGGTAAGTCAGTGTTGCCACCCAACTGAGGCTGGTCGAGAGGTTGACCCGCTGATGCCTAGTGGGCCATGGCTAGGAATCGCATTCCTTGACATTTTTAACGCTGACGGACGCTTCCCGGATCATTATATAAACTCTATTTCTGTCTCCGAGCTGTCGCCTTCTCTGTTTAGATGCCCCAAATTGGGCTGGACTAATAATTTTTTGCTAATGTGAGCAGACATGAGCCAGCAGTTTCAGCACGTACGCTCTCAGTTGACATTGTGTTTTTTTAATCAAATTCCTCTGGACGGAAGCAGAAAACAATTTATTTTCCCACATTCTTCAACGGCGCATCGGTGATGAAGCGTTTGCGACAAAATCACGCAGCTCAGAAAACAGATCGGAGACGCTCAAGGGAACGTTGCGAACTCGTTTTCACGATTGTGGTTTCGGTGAGCGACTCTTCCAGGAACCGAAACGGGAGGTGATTCGAGTTAACATGTGAACTCCTTATGACTTATAGTGCAGGCTTCTTTAGAGTAGTGTGGTACACTGTCACCTAAAAGGCGCCGGACCTTTTGATTCGATTTGTTGTAACTGAGATGAATGAATAAGGCAAGCCCAACCTCATGCGCGGAGAGTGTTCACGACCCTCAGTTTTCTGTATTGGTCGATCTGGTATACACTTTAAGCACGCATCTGAAGGATGCTTATGAGGTTTTGAGAACAAATAACTGCCCTGCATGCTTATCAAGTTCTAAACCTATAAACCAGAGATTTCCATTCCTCTGAAAGGAAGTATATGTCCAGTTTCGGTATAGAGTTTTCATCCAATTGATGCCAGTTCGGTCTCACTGCGACCACCTTTCAACCAACTAATCGGAGCAGCTGCAGTCACCGCTGTGGTGGCATCAACCCGTTGGGTGGCAGGAACATGTTTCATTCTCTGGAGAGCTTGCAAACATCCTGCCCAATTCGATTGGATTTAAACCGACTGACTGTGATTGCCTCGTTTATTTCGGTCAACCACACAACAATGATACATGAAAGAAAGAAAGCGCGTTTTCGGTTGTGTAACGGGTACTTCGATTGAAGAATGTGTCCAGCACCAGAAGCTGCGTTGGTTGGGACATGTGTTACGTATGCCGAACCATCGTTTGCCGAAGAGAGTGCTGTTTTCCATGCCCAACTCAGAGTGGCGTAAACAGAGAGGTGGCCAATCCTTGACTTGGCAGAGGAGTATGAAGGAGATCACGAAACGCTTGGGTGCTGTCGGTGCTACTCGCCTTCCAGGATGGGGACCGCGTGATCCTCACTGTGCCTGGTTGGAGACACTAGAAGATATGGCTGCCAACCGATGTCAGTGGCGTTCTTGTTGTCAGTTTCTATCCAGATTGCCTGAGTGAATGTCTGGAGGTGTAGGCACCTCGGAATGATTGTGTTAAGCTAGCCCTAAGTCCCTCCCCCATCCACCTTTACTCTTTTCTTCACAATAAGGCTTTCAAATAAGTCATGGTTGTACGGCAGTGAAGCATCGGTGTTGAACACTGATGTCATGCTGTCGATGATCATGATGATGATGAATGATACATGAATATTTTTAAATCCTGGAATAAATAGAACAATGGAAAATTGAGTCTCGGGGTTTCGTGGCGAACCACGAATGAGCCACTTTCCCCTCTGGCCGTAACGAAGCACTTTCGGATTGATTTGGGTTGTAACGAATCGCCCAAGAGTACTAGTTACCGCGGTCACGAAACGGCCAGTTATCTTCGTCGGTCTCTTACGTAGTAACCTGCACTTGCCGTTGCTTATGCCCAGGTACCTCTGAGATCGGAGCCATTCATGTGCGGTAGTCTTTCGGTACACAGCCGTCGTATAACTCAAAGGAAGCACGAGGGTTGAGATACTTCCAGGTTACTCTGGCCTAGGTAGGAGCAATCGGAAAGGCAGGATTGGGTTCGAACCTTGGACCTCTCGGCCAACAGTTTTCCGCCCTGACAGCTGAGCTATCCCGTGCACTAGCTGTAACAGTCTAACCTCTTTCGCTTACTTCGTTTACTTGCTTTATCTGTGCACACCCCAACCCCATGCGCCCGGACCTTGTGACAGGCTTCGTTGTTAACCACCGCCCCCTGCTCGGTAAATAGTCATATCTACACCCATTCGCAGCATGCTTCGTGAACCCCATAGTTGCTAAGGCTGACTGCGCGCTCACGAACACTTAACAAATTCGATTGATTTTCTCTTTTTCTTTTATTTTACGCATAATGTACACCCACTGCATGTTTATTTTTACTAATTTTTCGTATTTAGGGAACGAAGACGATGTCGCACGGACCGAAACGGTTCGCATGAGAAAAGTTTCGATAGCAGATGAAGCCATGCTTGGAGAATCCGGTGGAGCTACTTCTGATGAGGCCAAGTTTACACCACGCCCGGTGCCCCTGGCTACTCGTGCTGACCTTGCAACAACTTATCCTTGGGGTGATGATTCTCCGAATCTACCTCACGAGATGCGATTGATGGTTTCCTTATGGAGCTATGTTCAAGGTATTCCTCCCTCGGAATCGGCCACCCGAAAACAGCGCCTGAGTGTTGGTTCTTTGAATCAGCTATCCAGTTGGCGTCCACGACCACTAAACGACTACGTGCGGTGGATTCGGGCTTCTCCTCCGAACAAGGTGGAAGGGCTCGCTTATGTTTATAATGAAGCAAAGCTGCGCGCAGACCCGATTGAAAACATTGAGGCACATATCGGCGAGGTTAGTTTTCTGTGTGTTCTTCCAATCGAATGGAAGCTGATGATGACTGATGTACAGCTTGTTCAGTGACAATATATCCATTGAAAATTTCCCGATAACGTTTGAACTGCTTGCTAACGCTCACTGTTCTCATTGGTTCAACTCACGTGTTAGTAAGTTACAGCCAACTGTTGTCTATTCTAAACCTAGTGGTGAATACGCACGTAATATGGCAGATAGTATTTCCTGGATAAAGTAGATTCGATCGTCAAGCTGCAACACACTTTCGGTGCTTAGCTATCATGCCACCCGAAGGAAGTACGAGGGCTGGAATACTGCTTGGTTGCCTAAGCCTAGACAGGGGGTGAGATGGCCCAACCGGCCGAGCGCGAATTGCCTGACCGGCAGGTCCGTCGTTCGAACCCGACCTCCGCTTCTCGACTTCCCCTGCCTAGGCTTGGGCAACCTGGCAGTATCCCAGCCCTCGCGCTTCCTTCGGGTGGGATGGCACCTAGGCACCGGTAGGGTGTTAGAGCTAAACGTTTTTCCAAGCCTAGACAGGAGAAGCTGACGTCGGGTTCGAACCGCGGACCTTCTGGTCAGTAAATTCGTGCTCTACTGACCCATCCCGCTGTTTCCTGAATGCCGTGAATAAATGTCAATAAAAAATGATCTTATCATCGATTCCTCTTGTTTGTCTGAATTGGTATACCGTAACAGTGCGGTGAGGTCTCTTATATGGTTTAACTACGACCGATGAGACGCGCGAAACCCAGAGAATGGAAGCATTTATTTTGACGCTTAACCATTGAGCGGAACTTCCGTTTGCACTTAATTTCGTTTTTTTACTAGTGGCCGCCTTTATTATTGACAAAGATGTCGGGAGCAGAATGAGCTTGTCAGATCTGAAATTCATATCTATTCAATACCTGAAAGGATAATTTTATGAGCTTCTTCAACCCCCCGGCACACTTTCTGGCCCTCAGAATTAATCGATTGATTAACTATCTCGGCTCCTCGTGATCAGTTGGCGGGTTCTAACCCATTCATCAGTAGCTGGAAGGGTTCGAACCGCGCACTTGATGCAAACATCCCAGGAAGACCAAAGGGGAGCAGCCAGACCAAGAGCAGCGAGACCCCATACTACGAGTAATCTTGCTACGACGTGGTCTGGGGTAAAGTCGTACTGTCCTTCGCGACAGGAATGTGAACAAAGGTGTTTCCCCCTGGCGACCAGCATGTTCATATTTATGAAGGCAACAGTGCTGCGTTCTCTCGAAGAGGGACAGGTTAGAAAAGGTCTTCCCTAAAAACCGCACACTCCGATCGCCCAAAGGTGGGAACACCGATTCACTACTACTGAAGTACGTCAAATGGTATTCGGAAGAAATGACTAACCCTCGGTAGATGAACTGATCACACTGCATAGGTTGCGCTGGTTCGGCCACGTGCTTAGTATGCCAGTCGACCGACTTCCTCGAAGGACGGATTGGTTATTGATCAGGTTGTTGAATTTCAAATGTCGACACCACCTCACTCCTTTTGTGGGTTTCATGTTCCTTGGGCCTTGCCCAACGAACATGTTGCTCAACGACGACCAATCTACTTCGGTAGGCCTCCTGTCCAGGTCGTTCAAATGGACATTCAGCGTGCTTGTCATCTGTTGCCATGGCAGAAAATCACACAAACAAGCCACAATCTAAGGTTTCATTGTAGCGATTATTACGGCGTTACGCGAGAATCGGTCGAGGCATCGCACGACTCACGAAAAAAACTTTGGTCCCCGCATTTCGGTTATCGAAAACCAGGCATTCGTAGGACGCGTATGTCAATGGACTGAAGGCCAAGGATGTCTACCGATTGTATAGCGTGTTTCCCCAAAGACTGCGTTTGGATCTCTCAACTGTCAGCAACAGCGGCATTGCCTGGTGACCGACGATATCCCTTCTAATTTACGTCCATCCTGAGAGCATTATATGCCAACTTCAGCGAGTACATACGGGTGTCCGGCAAGCTATCGCCTGAGTTCAGCACGTCTAGTGGCTGTCCTCTGTCACAATTTTCTTCAGTTTTGTTATTGAGGTGCTGCTCGAAACTCCTCTGCCTGAAACTTGAAGGAACGAAATGTTCCCACGACTTTCACTTACAGACATTGAGTGTGAATTGGTTCAAATCCCTCAAAGATGCAAGTTCTGTTAAATAACTCTAAATAACTCTTCCATATGATTAAGTACGCGCATTACACTTGCGAAGATACTTCTACAAGACTGACATGGATCTAATCCCGAACGTCATCCTTTGCAAACGACCTTATTGGCGCGGCATTCCAATTTGTTTACCTGGGCAGTTGTATAGGTTCCTGAGGACTTGCTGAACTTACTTCTTGAATCGGGAAGCCTAAGGCAGCTTTTGCCTACCTCCGACAGCTATGACGCCGACGTGCCGTCAGTTTGTTTGTCAAGGGCAGTTTACACTGCGACCCGTATGTATCAGAATCGCGGCCTCTACACGCAGAGGGTCTGGCGGGAACATCGATTTAGCAATGCCAATGTGCGCCAAATGATCTTAGGAAGAAGGAATTTCTCACGATAGGGGAGCTACTCATACTTCAGGACATTTACTCCGCATGCCAGAGGACTGCCTGCATTGCAGAGCTCTTTTCGTTCGGCCCTGTGCTCAGTGTAAGCGACCAGGTGGCAACAAAGTGTGAAGACATTGACCAGTAAACTGAGTCGGGTTGTAAATTGTCGCTTCCATTTAAGGGGTTGCTGGAACTCAACTTATCACTGATTGGTGACAATGAAAAACATGGTTCAGTCAAGCGATCAGTGGCGCTCCTGGATCACAGCCATTTCTTTTCGAGAAACGAACCTCGACCCTGAAAAATCCCCCTACCACCGAGGTGCGTAGCTGAGATGAAGTTTCACTGTATCCATCCGCCGTTATCGAACCCAAATTATCACAATTGATGGGTCGAAAGGATTGAACTTAATAGGGCAAAGGCGCAACGCCTCTCAGTTAACAAATCTTCAAAAATTGTGGTTGTGTGTATTAATCACTGAAACTCGACCAGTCCGTCCCTGTCCGCGTTTGCAGCATGACCGATCGGTGCACCTGTGCCCTAGAGAAATCCCTCATCTGACTGGTGTGTGTGTGTGTACGGGAAACACCCCACGTTGTAGCAAGGCGTCTTCATTACTGCTATGACATGTTCATCTTCCGTCATAGTAACAGCTGCACAGAATCACGCATGATATTTGGCGCTGGATACACAGCGAATCGCATCCACCAATGTAATTCTGTGGATCAGCTGATGTTTTGAAGATACTAATGTGCTACGACTTCATGAACTGGCAAGTGCAGTTTCTGTCACCAATAATCAATAAACGCGCTTCTATGCAAGCCGACGTCTTGTTATTTGTCTTTATGTTTGCTGAATTCAGCAGTTGAGCAGATATGTGAATAGCTGATCACCAGTGACTTTCTGTCAAATTTCACAACAGTCACTGTTAACATTCACAACTGTGCATGGCTTGAATATCACGATGGTATTCTTTTTTTACAAAGTTCGAACTTCTGTCTCAAGAACTTACATAACGAGAGACAGGATTCACCATTTCTATTTTTCTAAGAGCGAAGGCCCCCAAGAAGTTATCCACTTCTTCAGCTCCGATATTGTTTACCCTTCATAAAAGCTGTTTTATAATGGATCGTTTTACCTTCTGGCGGAAGTCGGTGCGACTCACCTTCGATTGTGGTGACCACCTGCTCCCCATTGTGCCTGTTCGGAGATGCTGCAAGAAATGGCTGCCAATCGATGTCACTGGTGTTTTTGTTGTTAGCTTCTTTCCAGATTGCCTGAATGACGGCCTGTTGGTTTGGGCACCTTCCTCAGCCATGTTAGTGACCTTTTAGATTGAGTGTCCATACTTGTGGCAGACTTGTAGCGTTCTGATGTGTTTTGTCTTCCGACCATAGTTTTCCAAATGGTCCCTACGCTATCTGTTTCTACCGTTCACCGAGCGGCCGTTTCATCCCCATCGTTGCTTCTCTGACAAAATTCTCCTTTTCTTTCAAGGTTATCGCTTTGTTCCAAAGTCGTCCGTCAGATCCCAACGATAGTTCATCCAACCGACTGGGACGGGGCTTCTCGACTAGGTCATCCGTACGATATACCAAATCAACTTTGATAGCCTACTCCATCTGGTTGATGGCCTCTACCACTTCCACTGTATCGCGCAATCAGCAATCTACCGCAGCTCGTCACGAGCAGTTCAAACTATGTGGAATAACTTACTGTCCAAAGTTTTTAGTTGAGATCACGCGTCAGCTGAAATCGAACTCCGTCACCTTGCCAATAGACACTCGGGTTGGTCTGTGCCAGCTCACGAGCTTGTTGGCCCATCGTATTGCAAGCGCGGCATTTCAACGCACCAATGACGATTCCAAACCGGCAAACCGACAGCAAGAGCTACCTTGGAATTCGATCATGCCCAACCTGTCGAGCTGTCTGTCTTCTCTGGTTGAAACTCTACGTGAGCCAGCGTCGAGAACTGGACCGCGTCTGCGTCAAGTAGCGACTATCGCCCTGGGAGAGGTGATTACGTGTGCCATCTGTCTGGTTCAGTATTCTGTCAAAGAAACGGAAATCACTGGTGTCAGGGATAGTATTTTGTCCGAAATACAACCTAGTCAATGGCAAACTGTTGTCCATCACTTGATTCGATGCCTCTCACCAACAAACTCTGGCACTGGGTCAGCTTCAGACGGAGGTTCTGTTCTGGATCAGTTCGATTTTGCAGTTGCCGATGGTATGGGAAAAGGAACTGGTGCTACAGATGCTGGTGGAGGTGGGCTTGAATCCCCACCAGTTGTCAGAGCCACCGAACTGCATGTGCGACTTGGGGCCGCTCGTTCTCTTGACGCCTTCGTGACGACCATTCTCGGATGCCAGTTGCATGATCTCACCGTTAGTGGATCCCTGTTCGCCGCCGCAACCGCGTGCACGCAGGCCATTGTTACGGCAGAAGTGGTCTCACAATTGTGGACAAGCGGTATGTGTGATCCTCCAGTGTCCAAACAGATTTCCACTGGCATTAACGTCATCCATCGCAATCAATTACACCAGGAGATTAGTTTATCATGTTCCAGCGCCCTCGCTGGTATCGTACGAATCAATCCCAGTCTGTTTGTTAACGGACTGGTTGAGCGAATTGGGGCGACCGCTTTCACGAACCTTTTAGAACCCCCTGCTGGAGGACCAGCCTGTCAGCAAACCAGTCTTGTGGTAAGTTTCCACTGCCTGCATTGTTCTGAGAAATTCTAATTAATCAGCTGTTTCAACAGCCAACCTTACTGTCCTGCAAACTCGTCTTGATATTTTACAACGGTTTTCGACAGCACCGAAGTCTTCATGGATATCCACCACATAGAGGTGATACTGCTTGCCATTTGACATGTGATATTCACACTGTTCTGACTGTATTTCGCAGTCTCAAAATAGTTCACAGTTTCCCATTTGGGCTTCATTGTGGAAATGACGTCAATCTAGCCAGCAAGCACCTTACGGATGCTTGGTCCCGTTGGGAATCTTCGGCAGCCTCACACGTTTCTCGGGTGACCTAAACCCGTGATGTTCAGGCCAATTACTGAACACCATTCAATCCAGCAACGGGTACCTGATTAAAATTGGAATTAAGCTGCACGCCTACAGGATGTAGCGCCAAACATACACAGGTGGATGCCTATTGGTTGTTGATCAGGTGACTGTTGATCTGTTCGCCAAGTTCGGCAACTGACTTACACCTGATCGACAACCAATAAACTCACCCGAGCTACCATTATTTCGACACATTACCAGGTGTATGCCTGTTGAGTTGCTAGTCAGGTGACGAGTTCCCAACTAATGTCATCTGGGTTAGCTTCCTTTCTGAAAACAATTAACTTTATTTTGTGGAGAATGGGGAGATTCACAGCTGTACAGGGTCATATGGCTTATGGACTGGTTTCAGGTGAAGAGTGAACTTGAGGCCCGAGGCTTTTCTGCTGATGAGCGACCCTGTCACAATATGTAAGTCTCTTCCACACTCTCCTCCTTATTTCTGTCTGCGTTATTCAGGTGCGTTTGCTTTCAATGGCCGCTACCGGCTTGTTGACCCCTTTGGTGAACCAATCGACCGCAAATACTTCCACTACAAAAAATCGACGTCACAGCGGATTCTTGAGTGGTGCCAGTCTGTTCACACGACAGCATAGCGTCCCTTCAGGCGGGGGTGCTGGAACTCCGGCCGCGTGTCGACGTCTACTATCAGATCAGCGCTTTATGACTGCTGTCTTCCGTCACTTAAAAAGTCCACACGCGATGCTTCGTTCAAAGTCCTATTTGTTGTGTTCGGCCATTCTTACTACATGTCCCAAAGACAGTTTCCCTTTGGCATTTGATGCCAATTTACCAGCCTACTTGGAACGAGACTTGAAAGCGACGCGGAGTCTTCAAAGCCGCTATGTGGACACGCAGTCAATGAGTACGGCCATCGGTTCCACAGCTGAGATGTCAGGCTCTACCTCTATGGTCTACTTGGCTGCTTGCACCTTGCACTTCACTGACGTTTTGGTTACCCATCTTATTCCGTTGGTGTGCCAGCAGTTGCTCATCTCCTTAGGGTGCATCAGCCCCGCAACCTCGACCAGTCGACAATCGGGTGGTCGCAAACACTCACGACCGCACACTATTTTGGGAAATCCCCGTGCTAACCAGTTACCGCCTGCTTCAAGTACCTCATGTTTGAATACGATCGTGGCTGTGCCGAATCTGAATGTAACTCGTACCTGGCTGCCAGCATTCTCCTGCATCGCAACGCTACTTAGCACCAGTATTACGGTCCGTATGAGGCTGTTGGTTCCCGAATCGATGCAGCTATGCAGTAGCAACAGCAGTAGCAATGACGAGGTGAAGCGTTCCGGTTTCTGTCTTCTCTCGTTTCTCGGTCGAATGCTGGATTTATGGGCTTCTGTTGATCCAATCAGCTCGGCAGGTGGGTCCCTCAGGCTAATTTTGGATAAAGCGAGATCGGACTCATTATTTTTAAGTAAAGTATGAGACTGATCACAACCTCCTCATCCAGTTCTTTATGCCTATTTTTCCTGGATTTGAGTAAATAATATTATATAAGACAGTTATCTCCTCCTCAAAGGGTCCTCTCTGAAGGGAGACCACGACTGCATTCTTCACCAACCACAGCTTAAGATTAGGATCTTTCCAAAGAGAGATCGATTCCTAAGAGGGGCCAAGTACCCAGCTTATTCTTGATAGTCAATCTTTTCTTCCATATGTTATGTCTCTGTCTCTCTGGAGGCGAGATGGACCAAGTGGTTAGAGCGAGAATTTACTGACCGGAAGGTCCGTGGTTCGAACCCAACCTCTGCCACTCGACTTCCCTTGTCTAGGCTTGGGCGACCTGGCAGTATCCCAGCCCTCGTGCCTCCTTCGTGTGGCATGGCAGCTAGGCACCGAAAAGGTGCTACAGATGAACGATGTCTCTGTCATCCTACATTGTCATGGCCGAAAAACTTAATAACACAGCAAATCTGAAGTCTTCAAACTACGGTCCGCTCACCAGGGTATCAAACAAGCGAACTCTAGCCTACTCTCTCCGTTTTTTTGTGGGAAGCCTGTTTCGGAGAAGACAGGTGGATATTCCAGAATAAGTTTATGGTTGATCCACCTCAGTGGATGTTCTGATTGGTTGATCTACTAATGCTAGTCAGAGGACAAAGGACCGTCTACAGTGCTTGTGTGTTTTCTCTTCGCGTTGTTTGTATGGTAGGATGAAGAGCGGTTGACTTCTTGGACAGAACTCATCTATTGCATGCTTCGCCATGAGTACTGCCCACCCATCGTTCCCATTGGTGCTCGTTCACTGCTGTTTTGGTTCTTAGGCAACACGCCTGATTATTTTTTTGTGATTAGCTGGAGTAAATTGATCTCAACGTCACCAGATACGCAGCTTCATCGCCTCAATCTAACGGTAGGCCTAAATATCGCATGAACCTGGATGAAGGACTTGGATGACCTATCTGGGTCGTCGTAAATCTACTGCTAGGCGATGAAACCGAATGACCTGTTTGTTACTTCGGTGCACTTCTATTCGGGAGAAATAACTAACCCTCGATAGATGAACTGACCACACTGCATCGGTTGCGCCGGCTTGGCCAGGTGCTGCGTATGCCCGTCGGCTGAATTCCTCGAATGGTTCTTTTCGCGCAACCCTGTGGAGGGTGGAAACGAACCACAGGCGGTCAAACAATGACTTTGCAGTGGAGTATGATGGCCATTACCAGCAAAATCAGCTGCGTTGGTCATTGACGTCTTCCTGGATGGGTAGCCCGAGACGGGCCACATCGGTGGTTGGAGACATTGTTAGACATGGCCCAATCGCGCCCTTAATGGCGCTCGTTTATCCAAGCTATTACCTTCGATGCATATCTTCTAAATTCCACCACTCAACAGTGCACTGACAGTCCCGTATTTACGCACCAATTTATCAACTTCCGCCTCCAATGCACAGCTACCTACCGGATCTCCCCAAATCATCAGTGAACGAAACTGTGACAGCTACAACCGCTGTGCGACGCGTACGCAATTATTACCACTGACAGTGATGATCGATACAGATGACATTCTGTCCTTCGCTAGACAGTTTCATGTTCGATGACTTTTGTCTCTGTCCGAATCTCTTGTCGCCTGAAGCCAACTGCTTAACTGTGTCATTATAGATGATTGAACGTGTTCCCATTTCTTTGGACCAAGCACAGTAATGTTAGAAGCATTGTAGTTGTACTGGATGACTCATTTTCAGCCGAACAGTGATGGTTTGCATTGTCTACTCGGTTTATAGCGCATTGATAAGACTCTGATCCAGAGTCGCATCTAGAGGTCGCTATTGGAAGACGGGAGGTTTGGTTAGTCCAACGGGACAGCACCCATAATTCAAGCCTCATATCTAATCCGTCTCATAAGGCTTACTGGTTTCGGTACTCCGAATTCACACCGAAATCAGTCTTTTTCACAGCTGGATCGGTATAAGTCACTTACGTTATCGGATATCATTCACAAAATGTCTTACCTCGTAGTCCGATGTACCCGAACACGGATACCATCCACGGTTGTTTGCAGGGACCCCAGAAACCTTAGTCTTGAGATCCCTGGTCAGCCTTTTCGCTAATAGAACTCCACAGCTATTTGCTAATACCTGCTTTTCTGTACAAACGTGTTTCTTTGTGTTTCTTGTTCATTATCTAGACAATGTGTTGGAGGATAGTAAGTGTACTTCGATCTCTGAACAGATTCTATAATGTGAAGCTATGAAAATAAATTGGTTCTTTACCGTAAGACACTAAGTGCTTTTCCTTAGTTGGAAAATATGGCTGTTCAGTTCAAATGAACAAAAGTAGTTTGCAAAGGACTGACGAGAAACAGTTTTCTCGTTAAACTGAAGCACTGAATCACAGTCGCCGACTCTACACAAAAGTCAAGCAACTGTGTTCTCGAACTAACTTTCTGGCAGATATTTAGTTTTGATACATACCTTCGTTTGCATACGAATTTGGTTTTAACTGGGGGATCAATGTATTGCGATATCACGAATATCGTACCAGCTGAAACATGAGGCGGCCAGGGGAAAACGGTTGAAGCGGACCATCATAAATGAGAGATTCAACTGGACTCAGTCGAATCTCCTGTTAAAACCTAATTCTTGTGCAAATATGAGTATTTGTCGAAATCTGTCCATGTGGGTTCAAGTAGAGAATAAGGTTGATAGAAACTCGGGCACTGCACCTACCTGATGAGTCCCAAGAAGCGCGAAATCATTCGTAGACTGTGGATGAATTTTCAGCAACCTCATGGGTAATGTGGTACGTCTAGAAACAGTATTTAGTTTTGGTTTCCTAGCCGGTTACGTAACCAGGCCTATCATCACCTAGGTTTGTCCTCGAAAATTCAGGAGAACACCTCCATTACCTGTGCTCTGATTTACCAAACCCACTGTGTTCATGCCATTTTCGTTTATCCAAATTAGTCTCGGTTGCTGGAGTACACCAGTCAGGAACTGTGGAGAGTCAAGTGCTCACTGTCACATTGACTATCACAGAGGATTTGAGTCAACTGGCCGAGGTCGTCGAAGCGAAACGTCGGGAATTTGTCTGTCTTATCCTTCCAGGGCTTGCTCGTCTAGCGGTGGCTCCCAGAGCTCGTCCAGAAACACGAGCCATATGTGTGAAAGTGAGCGTTGACATGTGTTGTTGATGAATCTGTTTTTTTTTGTATTCACGATTTGCCTTATTGCTTTTTATCCTTGGTCTCAACCTCTCGAATGTTCGCATCGAGCTGGTAATCTTAATCAAACTTTTGTTTTGCAACTGGGGACACTGTCGTAAGTGCGAGATTGCATCTCTTTGTATCGACTTGCGTATTGACACTTTATACCTGAACTGAAAGTAGCTCAGAGTTCCAGGTATACAGCTACTAACCGGAAAGTCCGTAGTTCGAATTCAACGTAGGCTTCTTTTCACCCCTCCCTATGTTCATTCGTGAGCCCCTGGCATTAGCACCTCTCTCGTGCTCGCTTTTATCTGCATGTCAGCTGAGCACCAAAAAGGTGTCACAGTTGAACAATATGTACTATTATGTCTAGAACGGAGATCCTCGGGGCTTGATTGGACAATGCTCCAGTATGATACACAATCCTTCTGGAGTGAGATTTAACCTCTTTTGAGGAGGTCATGACCTTCATTACGGTATGCCGCACCAGATAAAGGCTAACAGGAAGTGGCTTCACCTGAGGGAATTCTCTTTCAAAGTTATTGCACTAGTTGCCCGATGAATTTTGAATTTTCAAAAAACTCTAACCACTTGGATCCCGTGTTGGATAGTTGATCATATTCCGGGAGGACATTGTGCATATTGTTGTGGCTGGAGCTCAGTTATCAAAGCTATCTAATGCACCATTCGTCTAGCACGCCCTGTTGAGCCTAAAGGGCTTGGTACATTAGACTTTACTGCCGGAATAACGATAACTCCACGTTTCTAAAAAAAACCGTTGCAACTCCCGCTCCACTGCCTTATTCTCGTCATCCGATACCGATAGCAGTGTCCAAACTTCATACATCAAATACACCGGTGGTGTCATGGTCAAAAACCAGGATCCAAGCTTAGTCCATCAAAAAAAAACTATTGCTGCTTCGACCAGTAAATGGACAAGTCGGCGATGCATTTGTGCGCGTTCCAACGTTGTGTGAGAATGATTGAAGCGTTGGTTCAATTCAGTGAACGTAAATGTATGGAATACCAACAATGTGTCTATATGCGTAGGCGCGTCGTTGAATCCCCACAACAATCGATGTTTCAGGACTCCACACTGGACGGACACTACCTGCATCTTTACAGCTTTACTGGCTGTTTTATATGGCTTTAAGTATATGCGGCGAGAAGACCCAGAGAGGTCCTGATTTCTAGCGACTAACCTGATTGCTTCATCGATCTATCTAATGTTGTGTCTCTCCAAAAACATCACAGTACATACAGCAAGCAAAAAAGTTGCTGAATCGAAAACAAGGTTCGCGTAAACTCAGAAGCTATGCCTACTGGATGAGCCCAAGAAGGTTGGGACTTGTATTGGGCTGTCGAAATTTTTCAGCAACCTTATGAGTGCTGAGTTCACAGTCCAGACGAGATCGGTTGAATAATAGCACGGAGCTTCCAGATGAATCTGCGGCATTTTACAACTGCGCCCTATCCAGATCACTCCACCCTAATTCATCGGACTTCTTTGCCCCTCCCCCCTCCCCGCTCACGTAATTTGTCAGTTTTGGAACCATATGCGTTAACAGAAGAGCTCTACTGTCAATCGCTTCCTGCAAACCGGCCACCAGATAGATTCGATAACTTAGTTCTCAGTAGATATGCAAAATTGGAATCGTGCATAAAAGTTTCTGAAGTAGCGCCTTTCGTTTCCATGGTTCGGATTACATGACACCTGCTTTACTATCTCACTGCCTGTCAGTTAGACACTAACTAACCCCGTTTTGTATGTAATTAGCATGCATATAAACAGCGGAAATAAATCTTTTCTCTCTGTTGAGAGTGAAGTAGAAGTGGAAGTGAAGTGAACTGGAGTAGTCTTGCATAGGAAGCCAAGTCAGGCCACCTGCCTGCAAACCATGCTGGAGCATTCACTCCGGATAAGCTGTACAGTTGACTTGGCGTTGGATATGAGGCTCCAACATCCATCTGTACCTCGTTGATCACCACACTCTGAATACTTCCTACTATCGTCCGATTTCCCCTTGTTCGACTTGACCAGTCGTGTCTCCTCGTATTTCTTCCTACCGAGAGTTCGTTCAAAGGATTCTCTTCTGGTTGAGCTACACTTGAATGCTCACTACTAGCTGATCTGCGTGTTCACAAATGGTGAAAATGTTCTCCTGCAGATGTCCGCGTTGTTTGTTGAACTCGTTAGCAGATTCATCTGGTCACTTCGAGGAGCATTGTTTTTCCTATCCATTTGGTATGTACGCAAACTACTGACCGCCTTGCCGTTCGTTGACAGTATTACGCATGTTGTTGTCGCCATGGTGAATAGCGGTGTTTCATCACGCCGCTTGGTCAACCATAGGAGTGAGATGGCCCAAGTGGTTAGAGCGCGAATTTACTGACCGGAAGGTCCGTGGTTCGAACCCGACCTCAGCTTCTCCCGTCTGGGCTTGGGCAACCTGGCAGTATCCCGGCCCTTCTGCTTCCTCCGGGTTGCATGGCGGCTAGGCACCAGCTGAGCGACTATTCATCTTATTATCTTGGTTGACCAACCCAACAGCACCTGTTTGTCCTTTGACTGCCCTCCCATGCGCTCTCTCAAATGTTTTTCGACTGAAGATCGGCTTTAATGAATCATGGTGTATCGCCTAGTTCTCAGTAGATATGCAAAATTGGAATCGTGCATAAAAGTTTCTGAAGTAGCGCCTTTCGTTTCCATGGTTCGGATTACATGACACCTGCTTTACTATCTCACTGCCTGTCAGTTAGACACTAACTAACCCCATTTTGTATGTAATTAGCATGCATATAAACAGCGGAAATAAATCTTTTCTCTCTGTTGAGAGTGAAGTAGAAGTGGAAGTGAAGTGAACTGGAGTAGTCTTGCATAGGAAGCCAAGTCAGGCCACCTGCCTGCAAACCATGCTGGAGCATTCACTCCGGATAAGCTGTACAGTTGACTTGGCGTTGGATATGAGGCTCCAACATCCATCTGTACCTCGTTGATCACCACACTCTGAATACTTCCTACTATCGTCCGATTTCCCCTTGTTCGACTTGACCAGTCGTGTCTCCTCGTATTTCTTCCTACCGAGAGTTCGTTCAAAGGATTCTCTTCTGGTTGAGCTACACTTGAATGCTCACTACTAGCTGATCTGCGTGTTCACAAATGGTGAAAATGTTCTCCTGCAGATGTCCGCGTTGTTTGTTGAACTCGTTAGCAGATTCATCTGGTCACTTCGAGGAGCATTGTTTTTCCTATCCATTTGGTATGTACGCAAACTACTGACCGCCTTGCCGTTCGTTGACAGTATTACGCATGTTGTTGTCGCCATGGTGAATAGCGGTGTTTCATCACGCCGCTTGGTCAACCATAGGAGTGAGATGGCCCAAGTGGTTAGAGCGCGAATTTACTGACCGGAAGGTCCGTGGTTCGAACCCGACCTCAGCTTCTCCCGTCTGGGCTTGGGCAACCTGGCAGTATCCCGGCCCTTCTGCTTCCTCCGGGTTGCATGGCGGCTAGGCACCAGCTGAGCGACTATTTCATCTTATTATCTTGGTTGACCAACCCAGCAGCACCTGTTTGTCCTTTGACTGCCCTCCCATGCGCTCTCTCAAATGTTTTTCGACTGAAGATCGGCTTTAATGAATCATGGTGTATCGCCTTACCCAAAAGACAGGTAGTCACCCACCCCGCTGTTCAGTTTGTTTGCGTGCCGTATTTACAAACTGTGCTTTTCACCAAGTTCGTTTACGTTTCAGGAGACTGCAGTTTTCCTATTGCTCATTGTTGTTCCAACTCTGACCGCCCGGATTTCAATTTGCTTTGTTCTCCCTGAGTGTAGATCATCGCAAATCTGGCTCAAATCCTTTTGGGAGAAAGTGATACTCTTAGCTCGGCGAACAGTATGAGTGATATACCCAACGTGCCGGGCACTGCAGGAGCCGACGTCACAGTGCACCCAGCTGACCGACCCCTAAGTGCAGATGTTGAAGTTCTCCTGAAGGAACTGAATGCACCAACTATCTATGAACGTGCACAGAGTGTGGTCGATTTGTGTGTCGATAAACCTGAAGCGGTTATGTCCCAATCGTACTATCCTTCCGGGTCACCTCGGAACAAACCAAATCGACCGGACAGACGAGCCCCGATTGCTGCAACCCTTGGCGCGGCCGTCCAACCACCCACAGCTGACGTGCTCATAACGTTGTTCGATATTGTCAACAGGCTGATGATTCCTTATGTAAGTTGTCAAGCATTCACTTTGGACGATTGTCCCTTAATGCAGTGCTCAATTCGTATGGATACGATATTTTAGTTGCAGTGTACGCTGTAACCATTCGTGTACATTTGTCTGACCACCAAGTCCCTGTTTCGTCAGTCGGTTTCACACTGTTGGGTCTATTTTTGTCCATCCATCGATCTGTCAGACCATTTTTCTTGGCAGTTGGCAGCCATCCTTTCACCATGCATGTGATCCCGTAATGCTCGTTGGAATGGTTGACTGCAAATTTGGTTTATCCATCTCGAAGGCACGGGACCGCCCTAGAGTTTTACTCCCAGCCTTCGCAGCTTTGTTGTTTTTTATTTACTCACAGTAGATAGACCACAACTCTGTTATAACAACTCACTTGGACTTTTGGTCAATTCTGCTTACCTCAGGACTGCACTTGGCATACCTTCGATTTTGATTTTATCATCAATAGGCGACTGGTTGTTTCATTTGATCTGCCAATATCGTCGTCATAAAAGAATCTCCAGTAGTACTTTAGCTTATCGCTGGTCCACCCTGTCGATATAGGCCAAGCTGGGTTTTTTTCGAGTATACATATGTAATTCGTTTATCTATCGCTCCACTACACACACGCTACTGCGCGGTTGCGTAATAGCCCGATGATATGCTATTGGAAACAGCGTGCCTATGCGCCCAACGATACCCTGGAGAAACTTTTTCTCTTCTTGCGGACACGTGAGACAGTTTGCGGCACCACATATATGCAATTACAAAATCCCTCCGTCCTATATTTGGAACGCTGTCGGTTGGGGGTTACAAATGAGTCTATTGTGAAGGTTTTGCCCTGACAGCGCTTTCCTGTTAACTAAACAGCCCAACTTAAGGGATGTTCGTGTGTCTGGTGCTGACACACCAGTTGCTCCGTAATCGTTTCTTCCAGAAAGACTCAAATCGCATCTTAAACTACCTTGTCCTACCTAAACTGGTTGCGGAAAACGGGCCTCCTGCACCAACCGTCCCTCTACATTGGTGGTCTTGCACTGCATACTTTTCCTGTGATCTTTGGAAAACAGGCTATCACATTTCCTTACGTTCTCTCCACGGTGATTGGCTAGATACTTGCTCCTCGAACGTACGTTCAAACACTATTTTCGCAGTGGCTTGTTCATGGCTAATCGTCATCTACATTTCTGGCCGTTCCCCGTGAGGGTTCGCTGTGGGTGTGGCCTTCTGGCTAGGTTGGGACCACGTGACCCTCCCCGTTCATGGTTGAAATCGCAGTCGAATTCGCAGGCGTTCACCTTACCACTTTCTGTCCAGGATGTCAAACTGAGAAGGTGTATACACTCTCTCATAACTGTGCTGGACACATCCCCTCCCCAGTTTCACCTTTTTTACTCTTCACGGCTTCCTCCAAACAAATCGACTTTGTTATGCGGCAGTAGAGTAGTGTTAGTGATCAAAACTTTAATGTGCCTTGATGATTATAAACTGGAAGACTTGGATTTGTCCCTGTGAAGGAGTCTTTTCCCGGTGATCTTCGTCTACTCTGCTTTGTTTGACCTGCTAGATTCCATCGTCAGCTAAGCGATTCCATTGCGTAACCATCCAACTGGTGAAACAGCTTTTTCAACTGTTCCCATAATCATGGATTTTTTCAGAAGTCCGTTGGTATGGAAACATAAAACATCAATCATTCAGTCTACTCATTTGTCGACTGACCAGATCGATGTCACTCACTATTTTTGTTCATAAAACGCACTATTTCCGGTAAATTACATGACCCTCGACATTTTCTCTGTTTGTGTGTGTGTGTGTGTGTGTGTGTGCGCACACACACACAATTTCGGCACATTCCCACAATCCAGGTTTTTGTATATGTGGTAGCAACATCACAGATGTCCCGTACATTTTTCATTTCAAGGTCAAATAGGGTAAGTTTCTTCTCGCGTCGTTTAACATTGCGCAGGTGATCGCATAACACTCAATCTACTATACGCGTGTTCTTGCGTGTGAAACCACGACTACTCTAACCTGCCTTACAGTATGTGTGTTTTAGTAGGGTCAACATGGGTTTGCTAAAAAAAACTGGTTCTCTAGAACAACAATATTGATTATTCGCACAACCATGTGAAGAGTGGAAACGAGCAAGAGGCGGTCAAACAATGACTTGGCAGTGAAGTATAAAAGCCATTACCAGCAAACTCGGCTGCGCTGGTCATCGCCGTCTTCGTGGATGAGGACTCCGAGACGGGCCACATCAGTGGCTGGAGACATTGTCAGAAGTGGTCCAGTCGCGCCCTCAGTGGAGCTCGTACATCCAAGGTATTGCCTTCAATGCATAGCTCCCTTCCCAATCCCTCTACTTGACAATCCACTGACAGTGCCGTATTTACGCACCAATTTATCAGCTCCCGGCTCCGATGCGCAGCTATCTACCCCTTTTCCCCAGATACTCGGTGAACAAAACGGTGGCAGCTACAACCAACTGTACAACAAGTACGCGGATCTTACAGCTCTAGGTTCGCAGAAGATATTCATGAATCACCTTTGGGTTGCCCTATATCTATGCCTGTAGCTACACCCTGTTTACTTTTTATGTTTCGTTTCTTTTGTTTCGTTACCTGGCTGCATATCTTAGACTAAACGCCCAAGTTCTTTTTTCACTCCTTGACTATTGCAACATCTAGTTGGACTCTGCTTCCATTGGTCGTCTGAAGCTCTGTTCGCCTATTACCGGGCATAATGCACCCCGAAAGAGCAGGAGATAGGGTATTTGCTTTGGCCAAGGACACTGTGATGGACTTTTCGGTTGATTGACTACTTATTTTAACAAGATTATGCTCTACGTGAAACAGTGCCGTGGATTACAACGGCTTAGCCGGATTCTCCCAGAGTACTGTTGGATATGGCAGCTACCCTACCTATTGCATCACATCGACGGTATGGGAGGAACAGAGTCACCATTGTTACCCTCTGACTCATCCTTATGGGCGGGGCTTGCTTTGCCAGTCGCGGCGCAATTGGTTGACTTTCATTCCGGCAATCTGGTTGCCATGTCTCAGAAACATGGTGATACCCGTGTAGGCGTGCCTAACTCTCATGATACGCAGTGCTTTCGGTTAGCCAAGATATGTCTGACTTCACTGTACTTCTTACCTCGTACGGGCATCGTTCTCACATATTGGGTGTGACCATCTCGTGCTCAAACATCACATGCACTGCAGTTCACGTTGAACACGCAGTCAACTAGACATGGTTCAGTCAATGTAGTCAGCAAAGTCTTCAGAAAGCCTGGTTAGAGTTTTCACGACATTCGTTCGAAGCGTCAACTTGAGTTATGGGTACTTTCTAGGTCACAATGCAGAATGTTTGTTCAATACATTTGCTGATTAATCGGAAAAGTAGAATGCTAAACGGTTGTTTGAAGAAGTTCCCTTTGATCCCACGGGAAACTGATATCATCGCCCTGTTGTCCTAATTCACTTCCCATATCCTGTTCTTGCAAATTTACTGTTAACTACTCACTAAACTGTGAATAATGAGCCCGAACTTTGGAAATGGAGAAATGTCGCAGTGTCCTTGATTATTGGACGTGTTATCGTCCAATCATTTGAGTGCCATTCAAATAGCGTTTGATCTGAACTTTTGGGGACTTTGGCTGCGTCCCCGTTTTTTTTTCTTGTGATCAAAAATGTGTTGGTGAGACAAAAGACAAGTCGGCAGGCTGCCTTAATCGGCTTACATCTTCGTCGGCACAAAGCACGTTTATCTTAAACGTTCGATCGACTGTGTGGAGAAGTTTAGCGCCTTTGGTTTAGTGACGGGTCCAATAACAGTCTAAATGTATGCAGCTCACACCGTTCGTATGTTGAAACTATTCGTGGGCAGTTATCCTAGAACCCAATAGATGTTCACCGAAAGTGTCAGCTCTTGGGAAAGGAGATTCATCATTCACCATTATCCTCCTCACAGCGACCACCCCGCTGCATTGAGCAGTTTTGATTGGTTCATTCAAACTCTGGTCTTCGTTATTTCTCTGTGCATCGGCTGAGCTGCAGTTACTGCTGTTTCACCGGCTATACTCTCTTCACCCAAAATTAAAAAACTGTAAATAATCTACCAACCGACATTGAATGACCATAACCTCTACGGCATCTGCCTCCCAGGAGAGACTTTCTGGCGGACTGCACCAACCGCCGCCCTGGAGGGGTTTTGCGGTTCTCCTACGAGTGATTTAGTTCTGATGTCTCATGCGCAATCGTTTGAGCGCGATACCAACGGCAGAATCAAAGTGAAGCCCGAGCAAGTTTAGCTACGCTTAGTTTGGACGAGACAAACCACTTTATAATTCATGTCATCCGGGGTGCTTACCTGAGACAGCTGTGAGACTTTCAGGCCGCCTTGTTTTCGGCGGCGAGTAATGTGGCTGGCGTATTCGTCTGATATCGCCTCAGCGATAACCGGACAAGCAGTCATGCGGTCGGTACGACGCTGGTTTTAGACAGCCTTTCTGGCTGAGTCACCAAGATTGTACTCGACCAACGGAGTGAAATTAATGTCTCCACATTCGTCTATGTCGATTCAAGATGAATAGGAAATCCTGAGGATGATTCAAAGCGCTGCGAAACATGTGGCGCTGCATTACCCAGTCCCAAATAATTGAGGAACCCTACGTGTCATGGAGGCTCTTCCGCCGGGTGACGTGTATCACTTGGCCTGTCTTGAAACCAGGACAAAGATCAGTGAAGACAATCTTGAAGTAGCGTTAATTGTTGAAGTCAATTTTTTCCTTAATTTTGAATTTCAAATCCACGTATCTTCTGGAGTTTGGATGCATTCTCCAAAAAGCCATCGCTCCTTAGATTTTTCAAATTCTTTCTCTTATTGGTTAGCATCCGACAACTCTGATATCTTGAAGTTTCTTGTAAAGCCGCATAGCCGAAACCCGACAGATTTTATTCAGGTATGCACATCAGAATGCTTTTGCTGGTTGTGAATTCTGCTGC